AGGGCTTCCTTAATCTAAAATTCAGGATCTTAACATTTGTACATATGGCTTGGTCTCTTGCTTCTTTATTCATTTCATCTACTAGATTCCCTTTTTCTGTATTCTTAGGTGCAGTGGTTTCCCAAGATTTAATCTTTGACCTTCCTTATATTCCAAAAAATTCTCTGTATCAGCAGTTCTCAACCTGTGGATCGCGACCCCTTTGGGGGTCGAATGACCCTTTCACAGGGTCGCCTAAGAAAACACATATATAATCACATATTGTTTTTGTGATTAGTCACTATGCTTTAATTATGTTCAATTTGTAACAATGAAAATACATCCTGCATATCAGATATTTACATGACGATTCATAACAGTAGCAAAATTACAGTTATGAAGTAGCAATGAAAATAATTTTATGGTTGGGGGTCACCACAACATGAGGAACTGTATTAAAGGGTCTCGGCATTAGGAAGGTTGAGAACCACTGCTCTATATAATATTACTTGTTCTTATGGTGCAAACTCTAGCTTTAGCCTTAATTTTTCTTTGGGTTTCACAACGCATTTCCAGCGGCCTTCTGGGCTCTTCACATGGCTGCTTGAATGTCCTGCAGACTCTTCAGAAAAACACATGCTAATTGTGAGGCTTGACCAAGTCATTTGCCTATTCGGACATCTGGTGCTACACCAGACACACAAAAAGGATTGCAAAGTGAAAATATAAGATATAACACCCTTAAGTAATGAATAGCCTTGGTTTTTGTAAAGCCAAGTTTCCAACAATCTCAATTTAATACAAAACTCTCTGCTTGTCTATAATATTGTTAATGTTTTGCTACTCCATAGTTCCTAAAATATACTCAGTATGATTTAACTATCTTAAAATGTGTTCCTTAAATGTAATAAATAAAATGTTGCATTGTTTTTGTAAAATGAATTCTCTTTTCATTTACTTTCTCTATATTATCAAACTTTCAGAGATGTGTTTCACCTCATAGTTGATCACTAAAAGGGCCCCAAAGGCTAAGTAGGAATGGGTTTGACACTTTCTGCCAGCTCGTTGCCTAATAAAAAACTGAGAAGTGGCTCAAGAGTGTCAGGAATCTCAGAGACCCATATAGGAGGGTATTTTTCTTCTTAAAATATAAATGTATTAATTGAATTAATTGAAGTTTATGAATGAACATATCTGTTAATTATAGTTGTTTCTTATAATGCTAAAAGTATTGACAAAAAAATTCTGAGAGGTCCTACATTAAATTACAGTGGTTGGGAGTAAGAGAAAGAGAGAAGAGTATTTAGCCCATTAACAGCTGTGGGCCTACTAAGAGACTGCTTACATTCCTGACCGTATGCTGGAGCTTTGAATCAACGTCTGTGGCCACCACCAGAAGTCACAGCATCCTTCTTATGCCTGAACTTTCAGGACTGTTTCCCACAACCAATCAAAAGCAGTAAATATCACTTCCTGACTGACTGTGCGCCTATCCTAGAACTGCCCCACTCCACTTCCTCCTACCCCTTTATCTGTAGCCAATGTAAGTTCTTTCAAGACAACTTTCATCCTTCTTCTTCAAAACATAAAACCATCTGTTAATTCCAGGACAGCGAATGTGTTTGTTTGTTCTACCTCGACATGCTGCTGCTAGCTTGGACTGCACACTGCAGGACCTAGTCCGTTTCTGGATAGCATTTGGCTCAGTAAACCTTTTCTTTCAGAGATTTTGGCGACCAAAGTTTTTTGTTTGTTTAACTCCATGTACCCAAAATATTCTGGCCTCTAGGATAAACAAAATTCTGACTGCAGGATATCACTGACGTGTTACAGAAATATTATCTAGTACTCCATACTTATTCTAATAGTAAATTAAGTCATGTAAACACATAAGCTCTTAAAATAATTTCTAACACTAAAGCTACATAGTTTTTCCCAGGAAAATTATGTTCCTAGTTGTAGCAGTTAACACAATTTACTATAGAAGCAATGATACAAAAAGTAATAGGGGATAGAGAGGCAGATGAAAGGTGCCCTTTGCAATTCATCATTTCAGCTAATACCCCTGCACTCAAGTCTCTAAATTATTCGTAAAGAACTTATTTTCTTTTCAAAACAAAATAGAATTTTGACTAAGGACAAAAGAATACGAGGTGCAGGGCACTAAAGATCAAATCAAATTTTGATATATGATTTTTTTATGTTACCTATATATCTCCTTCTTATACCACTTAGTTTAACCAGATGCTATAAATGAATATCATATAGCATCATTTCTAACCCAATATACTGATGTAAAAGCCATTATCTTCCTGCATAACTTTCCAACATGCCCCCAAGTCCTTCCTCCTTCGTACTGGCTCTTCCGAACGCACATGTGTGTTCTGCCCCTGTATCTCTGTTCTTGTTCTCACCAGGATAAACGTGCTTAGTTTTCAAGGTCCAATTCATGTTCTACATTCTCTACATAGCTTTTTAAAAAAACATATGAATTGACTGATTTCCCTTCTTTCTGCTTAATCGATAAGCCCATAAAAATGTAAACTATTTGAAAGACAAAGGGTACTTTAAACATGCTAAGGAGTAAGGCACATTTTCCAAGTATATACTATGCAACTGGAGGCACTGTGTCATTCAGTAGGCACAACAATTGGTACTACAATTGGTACTACTATTATAATTATATAGGTGAGGAAATTGAATTCCAAAGAGGTTAATTTCCCCAAAGATACACAGTTAGCAAGTGTAAAAAGCCTAAATTCAAACCCAATGCCCTTTGGTTTCAAATACCATGACAAAGTATTCAATAAAACACTGTCCTAGTCCACTGCATCAACCCTTACTGACAAGAAAGGTTAACACACCATGCAAAATACCTAAATTTACTTAATATTTCAAAGGAAATTTTCTTTTAGACTTTTTAATCAACCATGTGATTGCCCCGATAAAATGCTTTTGATGAATATTCACTGTAAGAGTTCTAAAGTACTCTTACCAATTAAATAATACATAAAAATTACAATGTTTTTACATTCATTCTATTAGAACCCATTTTTTAATATTATGATAGAGTACATGGATAATACTGTAGTTTTGATTCCTTGTGTTAATAAATAATGGTTGCACAGATAACTCAAAAATAATATATTACAAATGGTTTTATAGTCCTACTTGAATGATATTCTATTTTACTTATTTCAAAAAGGATTTAAAACAGTTCATAATTAACAATAATTATGATCTAGTAATAATATATGGCACTCCAAGAGAGTAATAAAACCACATAGATCAATTTCTCCAAACCTTTGAATTAGTTGAAAATTTTTGCTAAACTAGAAGACTATTAAAGTTATAAAGTAAACAAGAAAAATAACATTTCAATTATGACTATGTCAGGTAATAACCAAGGCTAAGTCAAATTTTTTGCCATTAACATTAGGGCCATTTGCCGTAAAATATTACTAAAATATTATATGTTCGCATGATAGTGACACCTTTTGTGTGTGAGTATAATTCTAGAGGCTAATTTTATTCCATCCTTCTTTGCAAGATTTAGACCATATTGTCTTCAGAGAAAATATCAAGTCCATTTTTAATTATAAGAACTTAACATAAACTTGAAGGATTTCAAGTTATTTCAGACTTTTTTGTCCCCTCATTTCCTTGAATCACTATATAGTTTACAGAAATAATCAAACACATTAAAATTTTATTACATGACAAAAGTAATCATTCACACACCCTCATAGGACTCCTTCCAACTCCTAATCATGCCAACATAGTTTATCTTTCATTCACTCTTATTGTACTTATAAACATAAATTTTTATAGGTAGCATACCTATAGTTACACCTAAAGACCTAAAAAAACTATGAAAAAGCCAAACAAATAAAAGTAATATACTACACTAACTTTCATTCAACACTGATAAAGACTTTAATTTAATAACTTCTTAATTTCTTCTTAGGTCTCAGACTCAAAAGCCAATACTTGCTTTACTCTATTAAAGAAAACATGTGCTAAAAAACAATGAAATTACAAGCATGAATTGAATATATAACCCTGTATGTAGACATAACAAATTTATGGATATTGACAGATACAGCTCATATTAGTTGATTTAAATCCCCCAAGTATTCCTACAAAAATTAGTTTAGGATGCATACAAAAGGACTTCTGAGTTCCCTTGTTATTTTATCACAACATTCATTGAATGGTAAATTACGTTTTCTTATTTCAAACCCATTTGATAGTTTGGGGGAAATAGCATAGCATTTTTTATTTTATAAACAACAAACCATGAATTAGAGTTAATCACTTTGCCTAATTAAAAAATGAGTAGTAATTAATGTATTAATTGATTCCAAGTATGTCACCTTTAATAGAGCAAATTCAGAGAATTCTTCCAAATACAGCAATCAACAGCATGATTCTTTACGACGCTTAAAAAGTTTGCTGAAGCCAGAGGAAGAACCTCTTCAGGAATCAGCTTTTGTGTTTCCTAAACAAACCAGACTTATCTCATATACAAAAGTAGATATAAAAGTATATAAAAGTATATATACTTATAATATATACACTTTTATATATATATGTATATATACAAGTATATAAAAGTCACATTGATTTCCCTATGAATGTAACCGACTAAAATCTACTGCCTCATGGAAGTGTTTTTATAGATAATAATTAAAAGGTAAAAGTAATAAAACACCTCATTTTCATTATGACTATCATTATAACCTCATGTGCAAATTGACTCACTTACTAATTTGATTTAACGAAGGCCCAGAATTGCAAGAGCAAGATGATTTATTTTTTCTTACTAAAGAAACTATTGTGTTTTGTTTTGTTTTAGTTTTTGTTTTTTTTTAATGATGTGGGGGTCATAAGAATGAATGTAGGCATTGTGAAGAAAACATAGGGTTTAAGAAATTTCAGAATGAAAACATTTAATAGCAACCCCTTTTTCCTGAAGGCAGCGATTATAATAAGTTAGAAGAGTGTTTAATCATATTCACCTGTCTCTGTCGGGAGAATAATGGTCATCCACGACACGATGTCTATCCATTCGGCTAATGGTGTTATAATGGCCAGTAGTAGAGCGTGTCCCTCGAAGTCCCTGGTCCACATTCCGACTGAAATAGCAAGATCCATTAAATATGTTAAAATCATAATCATGTACTATACTGACAAATGAGGCTTATTAATAAATACAGTAGAAAAAGACAAACATTACTATCATGTCAAGTCCAAGGTATTTGTTTTGTTTTAACTAATTAGTTGTACCTCTGGCTAATGGTATACATGTCCACTGGAGGTTGACAGTGAAGTTAGGAGATTAGTTCTAGAACAGAGATATGACATAAAATCAAGATACTATCGATAAGGATAGCGATAGCTATTAATATATGACTCTGAGATCTCTAGTAGTGATATTCAATGATACAAAAATACTGCCAGAAAAATTGATCAGTGTGGAGAAAATGAGTTCAGCATGTTGCTTATAGATAATATATTGCCAGATCCTATTTTAGGGGTAATGATTCTTTTAAAAAACCTAAACTGAAATATTTCTAATTGATCATGATGATTTTTTAAGCTACTATTCTTGGTCTGGATCATTTATTTCCTTTTCATGATAGAATAAGCCTTTTATATAAGCTCCTAATCATATCACTCTATTGAGAAGTCGACCACATTTAAAAATTTACTTTTCAGAAAACTCAATAATTTTAGTTTCACTGACAAACTTAGTTAACTCAACATCTTCAAACATTTTAGACTATGTTTATGAAGTTAATATATTACATTTCCTTTTCAATTTCTTCAATGTCTAAACTTAAGTAAACATTTTAAGTACTTAATATCCTTATAAATTAAATAAGGTAAATTTATAAATACAAACCTCAAGTTCTCTTAGATGGTTCATACCATGCTTCAAATTAAGATTATGATTAAAAATTCCAAGTCTAAAATTAACTCAATTATTCATTTATAAGGGGAGCTATAATGTTCAAATTTTAAAATTCAAAAGATTTCAAATTTCTTCAATATCAAGTATGTAAGTTGTGAATTATGCACATATTTATTAATGGCAAGCATATTATTTCCAGGGCTCTAACTCTATTAAGCCTTTCAGTACTTACCTGGACTGATCAGAGTTTTCCACGAGGCGTAAGACCTGGAGCTACAGATTTACTAAGCCACCCTTCTCTTTAACTCTTCGCATGATGGTTCCTAACTTTAAAGTACCATCATATGTTTATTTTTTCCTGTTCCTTAAGTTATCAATATCTCTACCATTTATGAGTATAGTAAGTTGGTCATAACTACATCTGCTCAATATTGATAAGTGATTTCAAGCTGGATCCTATTTATAATTTTGAACACTTCCAATTAAACAAGATCTGGGTCTTCCAAAGTCATGAAGTAGACTATTTTTTATTTTACTTTCATTATGTAGGTTATCCAATAGCATCTTTGTTTATCCTGAAGTAACTTTTTCCACAAGAATTTATTATCTTTAGAGGTTATTCATGGTATTTTACCATAAGAAGGCTTGTAATACCATCCTACAAATAAAATGTGTATGCTCTCTTACCTTTGTGGAGGAGGGACACTGGGTGACCATGATCTAGTCCTTCCTATAACATCTACTCGGTGAGGAGACCCTGATGGTGAACAGTGGTTGGATGACATTACTTGTTCTGGCACTGATAATGTTGAGCTTTGAAGATCTCGACCATTGTGTCGATAATCTAAAGGTGGAAAGATTAAGATGACAGTTACCTACACACTAAGTCCTTTTGTATTTTCTACTTTACTGAAAAACATAAAATGCTGGTGAAGCTGAAGCCTTTGAATATTGTAAAGGTATAGTATAATACTAAGACATAATAATACTTTGTAAACACTTAAAAAAGAATGACAAATATTCAAATACATTCCTCAACGGATTATTAAATGATTCACTATTATACTCTTTACATAGGCAGAAAGAAAAATGTAGAAGCAAGGATGATTTTTCTGATGTTGAAAAATAAGGAACCCAGGGCAAATACTTTGAATTATTCAGGTTTTCTAAACACTATTCAGTAATAGAAAAGAAGAAAAAATATAGACAGTATTAACCCAAATAATGAAAAGATACTTATAAATTTCTTTTTTAAAAATACACTTCCTTTAACAGAATGGAAAAATAATAAAATGATCATACTTTCGCCATTCTGAAAATAGAAAATGAAAGAATTGAGATATACCAAAAATGGCATCAAGATGAAGAAGTTCAAAACCTGAAGGAAATTTTTTAGGATAAAGAAAACTGGAAAAATCAATTATTAAAGGAATAGAATACAATTGGGGAGAAAATTGTTATTATTCCCAAGCAAGAAACTATGAGAAATATTTTTCAAAGCCATTTTATTAAGGTTTAATTCACAAACCATAAAACATGTAAATTATTTTTGGCAGTTTTAGTAAATTAATATATTATTCACCCTTAGTGCAAAAATAAAAACTAAAAGATAGCCATGGAATTTTTAAAAAGTAACAGGTAACCTGATAGCATGGTAACTGATGCAACTCTAACAGAAATTGCCAAAGAAAAATTCTTATCAATAACTGATGCAACTGTAGCATGTTTTACATGCAATAGAACTCATTTTGTTCAAGGTAAAATTAGTCGTACCCTTGAAATTTGTTAGGTTAATTTACCTTCAAGAAGAAGAGAAACATTTTTATAATATTAATGAGTATAGTGTGATGTGTTTTTTTCCCAGAATTTATTTATTTTTAAAGGGCTACTTACCTAAATTTTAAATAATCCGATAATTTATAATAATGAATTAGCAAATATTTTAAACGATAATGCCATAAGTTCAAAAGTAGCTGCAGCTGATACTTAACTAACACAACAACAATGAAAAAAAGAATTCAAAATACATATTCTAGTATTTGACATATTTGGGTATGTTGGTGATCTCAAAAAGGTTTTCTTCTCTTTCACAGTGTTAGCACAGTATGTAAAGAAGTTTTAATTATACAATAATTCCTCAAAATTACAGAGAAATCCATATTATTTAGTGGTTTAAAAAAGGAAATTAGTAAGAATTCACTTATCTAAAATATTTCCACATGAATATTCAATCTAACAATTGGTGCAGGTGTTCCAGCAATAAGAACTAATCAGGAGTTTAAATTGCCATAAGGTTCTTTTTGGTGAGATGAGGAGGCAAGTTATTTCTTTCTCATTTTATCAGTCTATCTATCTATCTATTGGTAAATAATGATGAATTTACTCTTCCTTCTTATTATGAAATATTTCTGAAATTCTTACCTGACACCACACCAATTCCATCATCACAGTCATAGTCAGAGATTTCACTGTCACTTATTCTCTTTGATCCTACAAAGCAAACAGCAATAATCAAAATTGGTAATTACTAAGGAAAAAATAATAATCTCTCACCAACCTGAAAAATCAATGGAAGGATTTTGAATGGAATTTGAGAATAAGAAATAGAGAGAGAAGGAAAGTCACATGAGTTCACAAACATATTTTACACATATTTCATGATGTAGGTATGTTATTCTTGAAATGTGTAAGATAAAGCTCTCAAACAGTTTAAAGCTTAAAATAATATTAAATATCAAATGATGTATGTAAGTGATGTGATATTGATTGACAAAATGTACTGGAGAAAAAGTTAGTCAAAATAGCTAAGTTAAGTCTTTAGATGCTTTTAGACCAAGGCACTTGAATTTAGGTAAATTTTAAAACATAAACAACATGTTCTTCCAAAATCATTCACGTGTCTTTTTCTAACAGGACTGTCTAATAAATTAAGTATACCCAATTATTTAATTTCCACACTCATGGAGAGAAAACATAATTTAAGACATCTCAAACATCCCTTTGTAACTATTAGTTTAGCTGTTTATTGCTTTGAGAAGAAAATTTGAAATAAATCATTCACAAACTGACAAATACATCTAAATTGTGAATTGTGTCATGTTTTCTAAGAAATAGGCTAAGACAGAACAATAAAAATTATTATGAATCAGGAGCTCCATATATATGTTTTATTGCAAAACAAACCCCTAACAAAATGTTAAAATGTTTATCATGCTTGGCAAAAATTGCATTGATAATGAACTAAGTAGAACTTCAATGGCTAAAGCAGATTATCTTCATGTGAATTAGAAAATATATCACATATTTAAACATGTTACATTTTATTTTTAACATATATATTCTCTACATGAGTCTCAGCAAAAGGCACACCTGACACGATAGAATCATTCATTAAAATATTTAATAAAAGGAGAAAACATATAATGATAAATAAAAACAGTATTGCTATTTCAAAAAATGACTTATTTGGTCTACTTACATTTTGTTATTCATTAAATAGACTAAACTCACTTATCAGAAAATAAATGCTTTCCTGTAGGTTTATAAAACATTGAGATCTCACATTGTCTAAGATGTTTAAAATAGCAATATTTGAACATTCTAGGAATGCCCTCCAATATTAGAAATACCCTACAAACTTTTTTTCTTGTTTTGCTTGTTACAATCCCTGCCCTCTTAGGACAGGAAGTCTTTGTTGCCAGGAACTGCATTCTTGTTTTTTTCCTTCGAATGGTTAGGTAGAAGAAAAAGATCTGAGATCATGTGGTCTCACTGAATGAATTCACTATTTTCCTTCTAAATTCTCATGTGATTAAACTTTAGACCCAATCAAATCTGAGGCTGTTATAGCTCCAATTGACATGCAAATTAGAATCATCTGATGACATCCTAACAGACTGGGCACATAAGGGCTTATCCAGTGGTCGGCAAACTCATTCGTCAACAGATCCAAATGTCAACAGTACAATAATTGAAATTTCTTTTGAGAGCCAAATTTTTTAAACTTAAACTATATAGGTAGGTACATTGTTATTAACTTAATTAGGGTACTCCTAAGGCTTAGGAAGAGCTACACTCAAGGGGCCAAAGAGCCGCATTTTGCCGACCACGGGATACAATTAGGACATACATTCTAAACAGACTCAGAAGAGAGGCGGTATAACACAGATGAAGTTATTGAGAGATTAAAGGAGAACAGTGTAACGATGATTACTTTAATATGCCAGGTATAATACAGAGCATAAAGATTACATGATTCTAATATTGGTTAAGAATCAGATCTGCCCCTGATATAAGATACTAATGACACCAGTAAAAAATATCTAGAGGTCTGTATATGTATATGTAATTGCCATACAAGAGAAAGAAATTCAATTGGGTAGACAATTAAAAGAAATATTGGCCCCAAATACACACAAATAGCTGAAATCCTGAAAAACTTAATTGTGAAATCATGTCTCTTTTATCTTACACCTAGCAACAGCATCATTTTGGTTTTGTCTCAATAATCTGTTTCCATTCACTCTTCTTTGAAGACCGGTAATGGGCTGAATGAAAGTATAATAGGTATGATGTTTTCTATTTTAAAAAGTGAAAGGGTGATAATATCACATTTTACTAAGTAAATAATTATTTGAGAATTTTAAAAGGTGAATCTAGTTGTTATGAGACAAAGAATGAAGTATCAAATTAAAGAAAACTCTAACTGAACTTTTGCAGTTCAAATGTTATGAAAATAGTTAATATCAAATAATAAATTTATAAATGATTTCTGTCATGTTAAAAAAGAAGATTTTTACCTTAAGATGCTACACAACTGTAACTGAAAACAATAAAGAATATAAAATAATAAAGAGTTAACATCCAAATACACTTTTCAAACTAATGTTTCAGGAAAGTAATGAATAACATTACTCATCAATGAATCAAAAATAACTTTCATTCAGAGTCAGACTATACATCCTACACATAGGTATAACCTCATTTTAGTGTATCAAACAATTAAAGGTTTCAATAACAGCTATGAAAGAACTGAGATACCTGTTAATACCCATAAAGATATCTTCAAATTCCATGTCATATCTATCATTCAAGATAATTCAATAAAGATATGATAAATTTTACTGAAAACTTACTTTGCAACCTCCGTGTTGGGCTCTCTCCATGGAGCTGCCTTCGGGGCATGTATGGAGAAGGATGGGGAAGTGGGAAGGAAGAGACATCATGGGTCTGAAGTTTGTACCAATGTGGCTCATCATCTAACAATGCTGTTTCTAATTCAATTAAAATCTACAAAGCCAAGAGACAACAGAACGTTATAGACCAATAATACAGAAACTCTCTTAAAATATAATAGTAATGCTATTAGATCAAAAGCAAAGTCATGTTGCAAAGTTATTCATATGTTTTCATAATAAATAAGATAAATATTTATAACTTCTTAATTATTTAAAAGTTTTAAATATCTAAGATATTTACATTTATTTCGACTAACCACTTACTAGATAGAGGCTGTTGAATTTGCTATGACAGAAATAACACCTATTATTAAAAGTCTCTAATAATACTAGCGTATTTTGTCATTTAAAAAGCAATTTCATTCATTAATTTAGCCTTTTCATAAATTCTAAACGGAGAGAGAAAACCAAATTAGAAGTGTCTAATGGGTACTAAAAACCATGTTATGCGTTGCCTACATTTTCTGGGGGTAAAACAACCTACTAGCTTGGTCTTGTTATTCAACTCTTACAGAAAAGGATATCAAGGCTAAAAAAGGTTTAAAAGAGCTTGTCTCAGCTCGCATCAGCTGGTAAGTGAAAGAGGTAAAATATAAACCAAATAAATCTCTGTTCAATATACGCTGCTAAAGATTCATAACAGGAACATTTGATTTTTAAAAATGAAACATACTATAATATGCATTTTAAAATATAAATGTTCAATAAATTTTAACAGGAAACTAGTTCAAAGAAATAAATAAGTCCTTTTATTTTCTTTTAGAGTCAGGTACAAATACGACAGCATTTATGCTTAGGAACATGAGAACTGCTATTTAGTGATAAATCACTATTTAGCTATGGGACGTAACAAGGCAAAATAGCTAAGTTCTTTTGTTCTTCCCAAATTTTCCCTGGTCATTTTCAACGTGATAGGCCCTATATTCCAAATTCTGGCACATACACATACACTTACTTAATCCTCACAGTAACTCCTAGCATTCCTACTTGGTTGAAGAGGAAACTGAAAGAGAAATATATTTAATAACTTGCTCAAGGACACAGGCTAGGAAGCAGAAGTGCCGCAACTGCAAGACCCAGACAGCTGTCCTGACAACTATGTCACCCTTCTTCCTAGCTGGCTTACTACTCTTTGATTACTTCACTACTGACATTCGTTTAATATTTCTGTAGGTTGTTGGTTTTCCCAGGAGTTTACCATTTTATTTACTCAGGAAAACGAATCACGTTGAAAAGTGCGGAAAGCAGGTAATAGTGTGTATGAACACGCTATTAAGCTGAAGAACTGCCTCTCATCTTGCCCCTCTCCAATTAATTAATTCTCCACATTGCACTAAAACATTTTTCTCAAGTCCAATGCAATCAAGCCATTCTCTTTTTAAAATCTACCACGGGTTCCCATGACCCACAGGATAAAATCCAATCTTTTTAATGTGACGGATTAAGGGACACATTCCGGTGCCAGTTTAACCTTCAAGTCTCACTTCTCACCACGTTCCCTTCCAGCTTCAGGGCAGCTGTCAAGACCCCCTCAACTCTAGTGTCTTGTTATTCCCCCTCCAGAAATTTCACTCCCCTGGACCCTGCTACATTCTGCTTTCTCTGTGGAGCGTTCCCTGGACCACTTTTCCCTCCTGTGCACAGCAAGTATGTACATATTCCTATTGCATTACTCTGTAACAGCATTTGCCATACTGTTTTATAATTGCCTATTCACTCATCTGTAGCCCCAGTGGCTTATAAATTCCTTCAAGGAAGTAACATGCTGGATTCACCTTGGAAGCATGAGAGCCTAGCATATTACAGGTATATTACAAAACTTAAGCACAATCCAGGACAAAATGACTGAACTAAAAACAGTACGACTGGTTGAGTAAACTAAATTGATATGCACACATTATAAAACAGCAATATATATATTTGTGAAACTTTCATCATTCAACAATGAAACGTAAGAATACAATAAGAATAAACATGTAAATATTGTCACAGAGTATTTAGAACCATTGTTTTTTGTGACATCAATAAGTTCTGTCTTAAAGCAGTAGCTAAATTGATTCCATCAAAACATAAATTGTTACTGGCAGTCAAATTAAAGAATATATTAGGGGATGACACATACCTCTCCTAAGAATTCACTTTCTTCCTCTCGAACCCGAGCTTGATCCCAAAGGGTAATCTCCAGCATTCGCTCCCGAAATTCTCTGCGGTGAACTGGAGAATAAATGAATGTTTGGTTCCACTTGGGTTCCAACGTTTTCTTTACAGTTTTCGTTCTTCTTTTGTTTTTATCGCTATGAAAAAATTAGAATATATGAACTTATATAAAACTTTATTTTAAATTTGCCATACAATTATTAATGTAAAATTTCTCAGGAAAGAGGTCAAGTAAAGTTTTGTCACAAATTTATTAAAAATTGCAAATGTTGTAATCTTTAAAATTACTATTAACATTTTTAAGTTGTATAGTTATATCACTTATGTGTATTGCCTTAATAATAGCAACATTTCAATAAGTTTGAAAATTTTCCATGAGATAATTGAATACTTTATCTTTCTCAAAATCTAAATAAGACTACTGAATCTTATTCCTAAGTTTTTTTTTAACATATTGCCCAATTAGAAACCTTCCAAATGCTAATTAACCAAAAACTCTTCATATACTATTCACTTAAACTGCCAGAGTCTCAACTGACCAAAAACTCTAGTAAATTGTGATGTTCACCACTTCACTGTGATAGTTTTCTCTCACTCCAGTCCTTCTAAAATTTTAACTAATATTTTAAAGCATCTACTTATATTCCATCCATTAAAGAATGAATTATCAAACTCTGTCAAGAGACAAAGTTCCTTCCATGAAAAACAGTAAGAAAGCATTTATTTAGTGGGAGCCTTGCTATCTAATTCAAGAATGGTCTATATACTACGATCTGAAAGGGAATAGAAGCAGCAGCCTTGACTTCCTCCTAAGGAGTGAAGAAAGCTCTCAAAGAATGGCTATTTCAGAAGGGATTTCTTCTGTACTGGGTGGGAGGGAGACTAGATAATCTCTGACGTTCTTTGCAAACCCGGCAGATATGATTACAACTTAATAAGGCAACCTGAAGTTTAACCTAGATTTAACACTCTCGTCATGGATGTCCTCTTCCTCCATTGCAGTTCAAAGGGTCTCCCTGTCCAAAAGACAACCTAAGTTGTTAGAGAGCAACTATCCTCAAGCAAACTTTGTAAAATAAAGTGAGATAGCAAATAACTTCTGACAATTTTAGAAACTGTCCCCCCTTGACATATTTTCTGAGAAATTTCTATGACAACTTTCACTTCAAAATGTGCATCACAGCCCTGGCTGGTTTGGCTCAATGGGTAGAGCATCAGCCTGCAGACTGAAGGGTCCAGGTTCAATTTCGGCCAAGGGCACATGCTTCAGTTGCGGACTTGATCCCCAGTAGGGGGCGTGCAAGAGGCAGCCAATCAATGATTCTCTCTCATCATTGATGTTTCTATCTCTCTCTCCCTTTCCCTGCCTCTCTAAAATCAATAAAGTATATTTTTTAAAGAAAAAAATGTGTATCATAAAATGTCAGGCCTTTCTTAATTCTTTCATCCTTTTCATCTTTTTCTCGGCTGAAATTGTTCTTCAGAGGGTACTCTGGCACCCAACTCAACCTGGATGGCCTAAGCTAAGTAAATGAGGGCCGCAAAGTGTAGAAACACATTTAATAAGATCACGCTGTGCCCAGTCATTTCCAACCGGAGAGAAAGGAGAGACCTTGAGGACAGCCTGCCCTGAAGCAGGATGCAGAACAGACGCGGGAGGGTAACTGGGCATTTACTGTTTTCTCTTTCCATGATGTTACTGAATAATCTCTCTTATTGCTCATGTGCCTGAAATTGACGGTGATTAGCAGATAATTTTTGATAAGTTTTTTCTTCAATCCTAATTATTTAAATCAGGGTAGAACATCACTTATGTTGATTAGCAAGGACACACACATGATGACACTTGAAGAAGCTGATTCTGTGCCAAACAGTAAATTTCCTTGATTACATGGGGTGATGAAATAAAAAGTACACTCATTAATTTTACAGAATTTAAATAAATAGTATCTTTGCAAGAGAAGATAGAAATTATAGAGGAATACGTACGATGAGTAGTACCTTTTAGAACCATTTTTAGCGTTTGCCTCTGCAGTGTGTTTGAAAATACAATTTATTTAAAGGAGGCAAATTTTTAGTAATTTTGATAAACAAAAACATATTATTTAAGAAATAATCCACACAACCAGAAATAAATACGCAATAAAATAATAGATATTATAGACATTTGATATAAATTTTAAAAACAATCCCAAAGTATTTATTGCCACTATTTTGAATCCTAAGAATGATTATGCTTATGTTAAACTTCGTAAGTATCTGAAAGATATGATAAAAATAAATGATACAGAATAAAAACACTCATTGCTATTAACATTTCTCACTTACTTTCAAAAACATTTTTTTTATTTCCTATCCCTACCTTCTGTCTGGAAGAAAGTAAATTTTAACGTAAGGATTCCTTGGCCTCCCATCTTCCCTGGACGGGAGATCCTTTGCTCCCAAGATTGTAACTATGAGTTGGTGACCGACCTTGTCAAACCATAGTTTTATCTGAAAAGTAAAAATATTCATTGATCAGCTCAAACATTTACTACCTTCACATAATTTTTATGTCCCCATCTTCATTCACCACATTCTCTGACATTAATACTGGCAGAGAATATAAATTTCACTCAGTAAATTGCATTTAGTCAAAATAAAGGGATATGCTTTAATAACTTCACTGAATAGAGGAATTAATCCAAATATGTCGGCGTGATTCATAAATTACTTGGAATTTTCTTATGCTAATTTGATTGCTTATTAACATGCACATAATAAATATACTACCTTAACTAAGGACTTTCTATGCAATGATTGCTGAGTTTTATCTTTTATGCAAGAATCGCTGTAGTTCATTTTGGCTCCCCTACAATAGTGAGCTCAAATCAATGCTCAAAATGAACTCAATAGATAGTAACTTGTTTATATGGCATTCATAGGGAATGTTTAAGCACATGTTTTATGTAATTCCACAGCAGAAGACATTTCAAGGATTATAATCACCAGTAAATTACTAGTAGCTTTAGTCAATAGACTCCTTACGTTTGTATTTAAAACTATAATAAAGTCACGTCTTTAAATTTTTCTTCAACATAAAGTCTCTTTTTTTTTGTTTGTGATGTAAATGTAGCACATTCTTAGGAAATAAGAGTAGATTTTTTAATTTGAGATGTGGAAATGTGAGTAATTTCCCTATGCCTTAATTAGGAATTGGAACTTCAGATCCAGCTGCAGAATTAATTTGATGTAACTATTGTCACCTCCCACACACGTACCTCACACTCTCACACCTAGCTAGCTGATTCTACTGTGTGAAGATCTATAACTGTGGCTCTGACCCACAAATTGGTTCAGAACTCAACTGATACTATCTTGAAATTGATATTGAATCAAAAATTTTAAATTTGGGAATAAAATATATTTATAGAATCTTTATTTTACAGTTTATACATTTTATGGTATAGATATGTTAGTTATTGAATTTTTCCTTTCACCTGAATATGCATTTTGCAGTCATTTAAAAGCTTAAATATACACATCTAATGTCAGTCCTTCCTTCTCTTCTCTAAAGTGGACAGTCAGGGCTGGGCCAAGCTAACAGGGCTTGCTGACTCCCTCGCTTTGTATTTTAGGGACTGAGAAGCTGCGCAGGGAAGAGGAAGACAGATGGCCCAGAAGAGTATATAAAATTATTTACATGTTTTCCTTTCTTTGTCAAATAGAATCAGCCCTCTTATAGAACTACAGAAGAAATATTTAAATTTTTAAAATTGTAATTACTACTCTCTTAGTTGTGTTAAGTCCTTGTTTAATGCAGGTGTTATCTTGCTGCTGTGTTATAAAAAGTTTTCATAACAGAACTGTTCCGTTTAAACAGACCAGCTAATCTGTGGTCCACAAACCTCCTGCATCAGGGTTATCTGGTTTATTTGTGAAGAAGCTAAAAATTCCTGTGGCCCACCTCTCACCTAGTGAATCAGAATAGGGTCCAGGAATTACCATTTTAACAAAGTCCTCCAATTCCCACGGACATTACAGTTTGAGAACCATGGCTTTAGATTATGGGATCAACCTGAAAGAAAAGCCTCTAACATTTGAATGGAGAAAAAAGTTGACATATTTGCTTGCCTAACAATATCAGAACATAGATACAGATGAGGGTAAGTGGGGGAAAGACTAAGTTGTTCCGGAAAAAGACATGAAGGGAAAACAAAGCAAAAAGGTAAGAAATGAGTGTCTTGTGTATGACATGAACAGATGTCTGCAGATAGCATGCATCATGGTTCCTCTAAAATGTGTGATCAAAACCAGATTAATTTCTGATATTCTCTATTGTCTATAGAAACAAAAAAGCCAATTGCTTTATTTTTCTATGATATTAAAAATTCAATATTAGACACCTTAAGGAGAAAAAAAACACTAAAAAGCTAAAAAAAATTTTCCAATAAACTTTACACTTAAGAAACAAAGAAACAATGATGATTATTAGACTAAGCTCATTTCTGTGAGTGTTTTTTTTTTAAGGATTGAGACTAAGCACTTGAAGCCATCGCCACAGGCAATACTTTTACTCCTTTGAAATCATTAAAGCTAAACATCTGAGATATATATTTTGAATGTCTGATAAAGAGTATTCTTTTTCGATTTTCTTATGCCATGGAAAATTATAGCACTTTTTATTAATACTCATTTTTATACAAATATTAGGCATATAACTTTCATATTTTTATACTATGTAAGAACTTATTGAATTCAACGTTACAAGTATATAAATGTTTAAATATATAGATATGAAACAGGCACATTTTAATTTTAATGATTTTTTATCAAAATTACACTTTTTAATAAACTCTCTTAAACTGGGCATTTGATCAATAGCTCCAATTTTCATTTTATATTACAGGACTTGCATTGAGGTTTTTAATATATATCCAGTTCACATTATCAAAATATAATCATTTTATTAGCTAGATTATTTTATCTCATTTTGAAATTCTTTATCTGTGCTTTTTAAATGAATGGTTAGTATATCTGTTGGTTCTCCAAAACATAACAAATGTATTTCACAAGTCTAAATATGACATATGTCTTTATATTTACTTCATTTTTATTAATAAAACTCTTGGTATTATTCTAATTGTTTTTAACATAATTATCATTCCAGCTTAACCATGTAACCATTTTTAAACTTCCTAAGCAGAACCTGAGTAGCACAAGTAAATATTTTATACTATATAATATTAACTAGAACAATTTTAATTTTAAATATTTAAACTAAATTGGTATTACTCAAAACCAGCAATAACAATAAAAAAAAAATACATGCAGCAAAGCAAGGGAAGCATACTAGTAATACTACCTTTTTAAAAAAACTATATTGATATTACTTTACCATATAAGGGTTTCCTAATGAAAAGAGGCAAACAACTTGTACCCAATTATTACAGAAAAATTAAATGAAATTACAATTACAAAATGTAAACAAAATAAGCCCAACACTTTTTAACTGGGAATTGTGATTTCGTTCTTTCAAAGTATTACACGTTCCAAATGTTGAACCTTATATATAATAGGCATAAAATTCATATTTTCAATAAGGTACAAATTTATTTGCCAATCTCCTCAAGGGGTTATTGTTTGGAAAATGCAAACAAATGTAGATGTTAAGTGACATAATGAATGATTTAAAGAGACAGCAACCTTGCGTAATAAAGGCAAATATCAACAGTTAAATTAGCTTTTTCTTTCGATGGTACATGCAGCAAAGCAAGGGATGCTGCATGCTTTGCTGTAAGGAGAGTGTACATTAAACGTCACTTTGTATCTATGACTTTTGGTGTTCAGTTCATCATATAAAATCACTAACAAAAATTGTCTCTTTAAATTTTTATTGTATTTTAATCCCCATGCAGAATCTTACAAGCCGGCTCATAAAATGATTTGAAAGTCAATAATATGACTTGGAGCAACATACCAAAACATGTTTTCCTACTACGCATTTTCCAAAAACATACAAATAAGGGTTAAAACACAGCTTTAGTTTCTATCAGGCAGACAAGGCCTTTACCTGAACCCTAGGAACAAAAGGCGTTGTTCTTCTACTAAGGCTTTGGCTCTGGTAAGCAAAATTAAAGAAAAAAGCAATAAAACAAAACCAAAAGGACAACACGCTGGAACTAAAAGACCAAAGTAAAAACAAACACGTACAACTACCACCCCTCAAATATAATTTTCCCGTGTCAATATATATCTAAATTGATTACATCATGTAATGAATAACTTAATTTTGCCAAAATGCTAAAATATATAAAATCTTAGAATTTTTAAATCAGTTTTAAGTGCAATAATAAAAACAACAGAAATTAAGACCCAATGTAAAATAACATATTCAGTCTCATAAATTCTGAAAGAATAATTACAAACAGAACCCAATAGCCAAGAAATGTCAGGTTTCCCCCTTAAACACACTATATAGAAAAAAAATCACAATCCAAATGACATGAGATAAGAATGCATTATAGAATTATTAGTGAAAAGACATTTTTACAAGGAACTGTGACTTGTCCAAAATGATATGACTAACAAAAATGTAAAAAACATTAGTCAAGTTGGCTTAGCATTAATTGTTAAAAGAATATAACAGTAAGATAAAAGTATGCTGGAATGTACTGGGTTAATTAGGTAATTCATACTTTAAGGATTTACACCATTTTCAGACATTTATTATGTACCACTTGAGATTATCATACCTATTAATGAAAATACGTATCTTATTAATTTTTATGTATATAGTTCTCTATATTTTTCCAAGCATTTACTGACTGTTTATTGCAAGTTTGTTGCCTCCAACAACACTAGGTGGCTGTCAGTATTATATGCAATTTGCAGATAAGGAAAGAGAAACAGAACACCACCGCAAAAAAGGCTAGATACTCAAACAAAAGGTAAGATACTATAAAGGTAGAAGACAGAGCCTACCTCTGATTAAATCACTCTATTTCATATTCTTTGAGTAAAATCAAATTTCATTTCTCTTCTGACTTATTTTGTTTTCATTTGAAACTGTTTCCAACAAAAACACCACAACAATCAGAATTGTGTGCCTTTATTAAGGCATGCCCACAGTTAAATCAGGAACAAAATCAGATGCGTATCTCTGGGTTTGGGAATGGATTTCAAGGCATTTGATTTTGCTTCTTTCGCCAAAATTCCATTCCATTCCTTACATTTCTCATGGATGTCTCTCTTGTCTAATTCCCCTGCTAGATGGGGGCAGTTAACAGGGACTAGGAGGACTGGTGCCCAGTTTACCTATCATCAGACTTACACTTTGTAAGACATAAATCTAAGACCTAGAGGAAAGAAGACCGTAAAAATAGACTATCATTCAGTCATGAGTCATCCTCATTCTCTCTCTCCAAAAACTAAGGAGTCCCAAATCTCAGCTGTCTTCCTTTTTGTGTGGAAACACATCCAAAGGAAGAAAGAAATGTTTAGATAAGGAGGGTGTTACTGACCCTTGTCTGCACAACTCAGATGGGGAAGGGATGTATGAAACGCATATAGATTAAGTAGGTACACCAAAGTAAAGAACTAATGCCCGACCTCGTTTGGCTCAGCGGACAGAGTGTTGGCCAAAGGCCTGAAGGGTCCCAGGTTCAATTCTGGCCAAGGGCACGTACTTCATTGCATACTTGATCCCTGGCCCCAAGAGGGGCGCTTGCAGGAGGCAACTAATCGATGTGTCTCTCTCACATCGATGTTTCCCTCTCTGTGTCTCTCTCACATCGATGTTTCCCTCTCTGTGTCTCTCTCACATCGATGTTTCCCTCTCTGTGTCTCTCCTTCTTCCTTCCACTCTCTCTAAACAGTAATGTAAAAATATCCTCAGGTGAGGATTTAGATAAAGAAAAAAGAAAAGCACTAACAAGGTACTTTATTCAGTAGATTACATTTTCCTTGCCCTCTCACCTGTTCTACCTGTTTTACACCAAAAATATCAAGGTAATGGAAGTAAATATTACTTCATAAACTAAAAAATTACTTTAAAAGAAACAGTACTTTAAAGTAAACTAATCTTTAAGGCCATCACTGTCAACCTTCTAAAATGATCTCAAAAGGGCAACTCATGGAATTCTGAAATCAACTGTCTAAATTCTATGGCCATTTAAATAATCTTCACCCATAAGTTCACACTTTAAACTTGGCTATAAAAACATATTTTGATTTATTAGTTTTTTTTAAGTGAGTTGAAATTCAAATTCGACAAAGCATTTTAAAGTGTGCGATCCAGAGGCATTTAGTGCATTCACGATGCTGTGCAACCACCTCCTCCCTCTACTTTCAAAGCTCGCCTCATAAGCTATCGTTTATCTGTTAAGTAACCACTCCCTGTGCCCCCATCATCCTAATTCCTGGCAACCACTAAGCTGCTTCTGTCTCTATGGATTCTGGATATTTCACGTTGAAGTACTATGTATTTCATTGCAACTTGTAATTAACATTACTTCATTTATTTCAAACATGAAATACCTGTTATCTGTAACAATTCACCCTCATCCAAATAAAGAATATGATTTTGTGCACCACTATTTATTTTGCACTTTTAATGTCACTTTCTACTATATACTGTACTGCTATATTTAGGACACTCCTTTTAAGCAATGCTTTTGGAATAACAAGACTGTGACAATAGGGATGAAAGATAAATGCTCAAAGAAAAAAACTTTAGTTTGCAGAAAGTTTTAAAAAGTCTAGAGTTTCTAAGGAGATATAAAAGATGTATCTCTATTGTTCAGTTACTTATTCTCTTTAAAAAGGGGCATATGTAATGGATACGTACAGCATTTACAAACTCATCACTAAAAATGGAGTCAGAAAAATATTAAAACAAAGTAACTCAGGGAAACATTGCAACCATAAATCAACCACAGGCCCTAAAGTAAAATAAGATTGCCAAAAAAAGTCAGTGTATTCCTATAGTAAACAAGAATTCTGAGCCATTTCTCACTTTTAAAAGCCAAGAGAGCTATATTTTTATCTTAATTATCAAAAAAGTAGCCCAAAACTGCAAATTAACTTAAAAATATTGAGACATTATAAAAGTAATTCTCTGAAGAAGGAAACTGCTCAATATGGAAGAACACTTTTTTTTTTTTTAATCCACATGGGAGTGCTGATAGTGAAAAGGCTAACATATAGTCCAGGTGTCATGACCATGAACTCACACTGACTGTCTCGCCATGTACATTAATGGCACTTTCCTAGCCATGCCCTAGAAAAACCACAGCAGCAGCACAATTCGAGCATGGAGAGGAAATACACTGCATAATATTTTAAGAATCATCAGCAACCTTGAGCATGAAAGTTTAAACAACCATTTGCATTGTATGTATATTTTATACTTGAGGATATATCAGTCCTTGAACTGACATGAGTATATTAGGAAGGACGGCTCACATATTAGGCAAATTATCTTTTTTCTCAGGCATTAGCAACGCTATGATTTTGTAAATGAGTTATGGGCCTGGTAAACTCTCACCAAAAGCAATAATGCCCAAAGATAAGATGCAAGGATACAGAAATTGTGATGCTGCCTTGTGACTTTCTAGGGGTGTTACCAAAGGGTGATATACGTGGACACACATTTTCCAACCTCTACATCATTACAGCATACCAAAAGTGCCTCCAGTTGGCAGGAATAGGATTAAATATAAAGGGAAAGACTATATCCAAAGGGTATAATGCTCATATTTTCCCGCCTGCAAAGAATAAGTATAAAATTAAGTTTCATGAGGGTAAAATTCATGTTTATCTTGTTCACTGTTGTATTCTGCTACTAGTATTATGGCTGAACTGGAATCAGACCTTAACATATATTTCTTAAATAGATAATTGGAGATAGTTTGCCAAAATATTTTTTGGGGAAATTTGGGCAGTAGATCTCAAGAACTTTAAAATTTTTTTTTCCTTTCATATTTCATTTTTAATTCTGGAAAGTTATCCCAACAAAATATTTTGTCCTAACAAAATATGCAAGACTTATATTAAAGGATTTCCATGGCATCGTTATTTATAATAACATAAATAAGAAACAAAATATCCCATTATAACAAATTAAGTTAAAAAAGGAGTAATAAATAGGTATTAAAATCATTTTAAGCAAATTTTTTTAAGTTTAAGGAAAAACTGCACAATATTAGTAAATGAAAAAGAAGGTTTCCAAATAGTATACATGAATTTGTTAATTTTGTTTAAAAAATTATAATTATATGAATAGTTATCTTTTAGTGGCAGGACTATAAGTGATTTTTATTGTTATTTATTTATTTATTTATCTAAGTATTTAGATAAATCTAAATTCTAGATTTACCACAACAAATATTATTATATTTGTAAAGATTATCTTATTGGAACATACTTCTTCTAACTCATAAGAAAATGATAAAATGGTATGTACTTAAAATTACAATTACATGGATTTTAAACCAGCATCATTTATGAATTTAAGTACTATAACTTTATAACATTATAAATATTTATAAGTAAAACTTTTATGTTTATATCCCCTAAATATTTAACAGTTTACCTTTTTACTGTATTCATTTTGAACCATGAGGAAAAATCAAAGAATCTGAAAATTGTCTAAATCTTTCCTAGTCCAATTTGCAAGAGGGCCTTGGGAATTTAAATGAGGTAACAAAGTGGTACTTATCATGGAAGTATATCTTCCACTCCTTCCTCCTCCACCAACTGAAGCCAACTGCGCACGCGCACACACACACACACACACACACACACACACATACATACATATACACATACATACATACATACACATATACACATACACATACACACACATACACACACACATACATACACACACATACACACACATACATACACACACACACACTTATTTAAATACTGGCATCATCCAGCTACCCAAAACATTACTTAAAGATGAACTATTTAAATACAGCCATAAAAAAGAAAAACAGCTAACATTTATTACCACTTCCTAAAATGGTGGGGAAAAAAGACATATATATATTTGTAACCATAAATAACAACATTCATACTGACAATCTATGTAAGAGAATAAGGAGAAAGATTCTACTTATTGTGGAAAAATAAAAAAGACCATTGTCCTCAAATGAAAAGTTCACTCTGTTTATGAAAGAGAAAGGAAAAGAATAAAGAGAAGAAATTTACTTTAGTAAGACATTTACAATCTCCTAACAGTAGCTCAATTTTTTCCTTGCATAACTATTTCCAATTGTCACCTTTTTGATCAAAATACCTCCAGAACAGACATGTCTAATGACTTGTTCAATAAACTTTAATATACTAAGTGTGCTTATACTTTCTATATCTCCTTAAAATTAATGAAAATTTAGTAAAAATCAAACATCTCCCTTTCTCCTAAAAATATAAAAGAAGTTTTGTAGCTTATTTAGTAAAGATTTTTCCTTTTGCTCTTAAAATACTAGTCCAATAGTTTAGTTTTTATTGATAATTTTTATACAAAACTCAGTGTCTGAATTTTGAGTTTCTAAATGGTTCTTAATATCCATAAAGTTTCAAGTTTAATAACTTAGTGACATTATTGTCAATACTAACCTTATATTTCTAAAATATGGATGGATAAATTTTAATATTTTAACATTTTAAAATGGTTTAAAAAGGGAAATAAAACTGAAGAAATTAACAAAAAAGTGAGGGTTTACATTTGCAAAGCTCTTCTAATATAGACATAAGACACATAATTGAACTTGTAACTTTCATTATAGAATGTTCGAATTAGGGATCATTTAATATAAAATCATCTGGTGTACTCAGTAGTCAATTATTTATTTACTCATGTACTTAATTCTATCTGTTGACAAAAGCATCTCAAGTATCATTATATTTCAGAGCAATATTCTTACCCCATTCAAAATTTCCTTAAGGTTGAAAAGCAGGAAAAGTACATAAATATTTACTTTTATCTTACATATACCATCTTTGTATAGTGCAGAATTTTTTTTTCCCTTAAAAGTTCATGACACTTTATAGTCATTTTAGGATATTGAGCAAAAACCATAACCTTGAATTTTGGAATATTACTAAAGTAAAAAACATTGTAGATATCGTCACAAATTCTTAAGCTCATTACATTACAGGAAACCTAACTCTAATAAAGAAAGCACTATGGTAAATAATTAAAATTTAATTTCAATTAATTACTAAGAATGAGAAAGCTGATGGTTAAAGGCACAATTATATTCTAAGAACTTAGTTTACCAAAAACTAGCAACATATAATAAAAACACTAGTTGATATTCCAAAAAGAGAAATTAATTTAGTGATGACGTACTGAAAGTTGTCCAGATAAAAACTGTGGAACATCTCGCAACATGCCGGGACTCATGGGAGAGGTAACGGAAATAGAAGGACGATCCATTTTTTGAGATTCAAACGAGCTAGAACCTGAAATGGCAATCACACATAAAGAATAACAACAATGGCTCTTCACTGGTATTTAATCATCTTCACCATCTAGCTCTTCAGTTTTATTTTTAATGTCCACAAAATGTCATTCCACTTTCCTAGCCACAATGTTCCAAAGTGTTTAGGCAGCGGTTCTCAACCTGTGGGTCGCGACCCCTTTGGCGGTTGAACGACCCTTTCACAGGGGTCACCTAAGACCATCCTGAATATCAGATATTTACATTACGATTCATAACAGTAGCAACATTACAGTTATGAAGTAGCAACGAAAACAATTTTACGGTTGGGTCACAACATGAGGAACTGTATTTAAAGGGCCAGAAGGTTGAGAACCACTGGTTTCAAGGCTTTTACTGGAGCATAAGTGAAGTTTAGTACTCAGAAGTGATATGCATGAATTATCCGAAGGAAGGAGAAGGGACAAATTGGAGAATGAGTTAAAATGGGGCGAATGGGATACTTCATTTTCTCCTGATGAATGACATTATTAACAACACTCTCTTCTAGAACACATGAAACTTACTGGACTCCAGTTGTGCATGTGTGCTATCAGGTATTCTAGGTATATCTCTGAAATGATAGAAAAGGAAAACAAGAAATTGTTGCAACAATTAATGCAACTACTGTTTTCATCATTATCAACCTATATTCTTGGTTAAGACTAATTAATTAAAAAATATTAAAATTCATACCCATTTATAGCAGATGTATAGAAACATATACTTTATTTTCTATATGCCTCACTAAACAATTGCCCATTCTAAAAAATGTCTGCATTCAACAAGTATTATAGATACATTGTAAGTCTATTCTATTCTTTATTTTTACTTGCCGCTGTTCTAAATCAATAACATTAAAATGCAAGTAAAATATCACCAAAACAAAAGTTAAATTATTCAGATTCTGATTGAAACTTTTTAAATGTAATAACTCCACTGAGAAAAATGTAAACATGTTCCTTACTGGGACTTACAAAATTACTACATAACTGCATTTACACACAAAAAATGTACATTTTCTTTGAGATTTGCCAAAAGGGGTAGATATTAATGGTTAAGATCATTCAGAAAATTACATAAGAGAATATTTAAGACATTAAACAAAAATGTTTAGAGTATCTTTTAATAAGAAGGAATACATTCGATTGATATACTAGGTTGATACAGTACAGTTTTAACATAATAAAAAACTTAGAAAAGACAAAATGAAAAGCGATACAATTTCATGTGCCAGATTCATGACTTTTGAAAGGAACATTTCAAAAACTAAGTTACCAACATAAGTCATTTTCTACAGGATAGAAAGATAGCAAAATAATATAGTCCAATCTTTTCCTAAATGAATGAAAACTAGGCATTATATTCTATAGCAAGAAATAATTTCTATAGCCTCTACCCTAGAAAGCTTTTACCATGAACATGAATTTAATAATTCCTTGTCAGTTTATAATATTTAATTGCCTTTTTCTAATTATAGGTCTATCTTTTACATTGGCTTAGAATATAAGCTTCTATAAAGGAAACACTACTGTGATGAGCAATTCTCATAACATAGATGCAAAGGACTATATTTATTGCCGACTTCTGAAAGTTGTTGATTTAATCTATAGGTAACAGATTATAAAAACAAATGAGTATTTGGCATTTGCTTATATTTTTATCTTACTTCATTGAAATCTCCATTTTGGAAAAAAATAATAAAAATCATGGAATATAGTTTATCCCCATTTTTGCAATATAAAGGACCATCGTTCATGAAACTTCCTTTAAAAGCAATTGTTTCTACAGTCCCCTTCTATTAATGCCATCAACCATCTCCTAAGTTACTAAAATAATAAAAACAATAAAAAGATAAATATTTCCTCTTTTGTAATTAACTTTACAGACAGAGATGTCACGATTTTTGGTGAGGTGTTTTTAGTAAAAGAAATGTCCTCCAAGTAATGTATTTTGATAAAACAATTGGACATTTTTGGATTGCGCTTCATAAACTTTAATGTAGTCAACTCTATACATATGAAAAGTGCTCAGACCCACTCACCCAATAGGCCTTGAAACGACAAGCTCCACTTGTGGTTCGGGTTTGGATTCCAGAATGATGTTATAGACTTCTTCAAACGTGGCTCCTTGCAACAGCCTTCCGTTCCATTCTAACACTTCATCACCTATTGCGTGTATCAGTAATGATCACCTTAGAAAGAACATCTAATCCCGTACGCACTCAAAACAAAGCAATCTGACGCTGCAATAACCCCCACCCCCCAGAGTAAAACGACCATTATGAAATAAGAAACATACTGAGAACAGCTCCAGTGGCATAAAATTTGATGACAAGGATGACTGGTATATTTCACCCAAAAGGCCAAGGGTCAGGGGGGAAAAAATTACATAACAATGATCTCTGTGATCGCCAGGATTTTCTCAGTGATGTCTTGCCCATGAATAGCTGTTAGTTCTTCTTGTGAAGGAGAGCAAAGGCAGGAGTGAACTCTGTCACCATCTCGGTGACATAGAAATGTTAATTCCAATAGAAAATCTAATCCTAGAAACTATCCAGATCAGTCTCCACTTCACAGGTTTCATGAGTCTGCATTCGAAGTTGGCTGAGCACTTTGCCTAAATTCTCTTGTAGAAAGCTTAACATTTAGTATCTTACTGAATCCCCTCCAAGGCACGCAAGGCTCTCTCCTATCCGTTAGAGATAAGGAGTAACACACTTTAGGAAATACACATTTATCTATGAAGTTTTTTTCCTAAACTATGTTGGAATTTAAAAAAAAAAAAGTTAAAGCTTATGGGAAACAAAATAGATGAATACTAGGTACAGAGTAGGAATATCCATAAGCAAAATAAATAAATAAATAAATAAATAAATAAATAAATAAATAAATAAAATCCTTTTATCTAATGTGGTTCAAGAAATAATATTACTTCCCATTAATGAATAAATTTATTTAAGTTAAATGAGCACTTTATTACTAGTCAAATCACTTCTATTTGAGGGTAACTTTTCATAACTACTCAATTGTAACAGTTAAAATGTGAACAATCAAAGAGAGAAACCTACCTGGTCTAAGATGTCCTACAGTATCAGCTAAACTTCCTTTTTTCACTTTGGTAATAAATGCACAGAGCCGACCTGATTCAGTCATCTTTCCTCCTACAACCTGTTTAATAAAGAAAAGGAGTAGGAGATACTTCGTTCCAATGAACATGATTGAATATTCAAGTAAAAACTAATTAGACAATTTGAAACTTTAAAAAAATACATGTTTTTATTGATTTTAGAGGGAGAGAAAAGAGAGGAAGAGAGAGAAACATCAATGTGAGAGAGAAACAGGGATTGGTTGTCTCCTGCATGCATCCCAACTTGGGATCAAACCCGCAACCTGGGCATGTGCCCTTACCTGGAATCAAACCGGCAGCCCTTTGATGCACACTCACCCAACTGAGCCACACAGGCCAGGGAGACAATTTGCAGCTTTTAAAACTATAATTTACTATGCTTAAAGTATTTTTTAAGTAACATAGTGTTGTTACTAAGAACTGAGCACATATCCCAAGAGTAAGCTTTTTACATATTCCAAATATTTTAGAACTTAATCCATTATTTGTTGAAAATGTTGCATACCTTAAAAACAACAATTTGTAATTTCTTTCTTTACTACAGAATTCTTAACTTTTGTCACTTCTAAAAATATGTCATTTCAGTGCTATGTAATTAATATATCTTGTTTCAGATTTCAAATATCACAATAATATAAATACTTGTTAGTTTTACTGTAATTATGATAGCCTGCCTAAATTTCACTAGTAACCTTTTAGGCACATTAATAATGTGCATGATGATGATATATTTTTCCTGAGAAAATTATTACACTTACTTAATCTCATCAGAATTAATGTGAACTGCTGACCACTGGCATCCCATTTTTTTCCTATTTTTATATTTCTATTAATAGGGTAAGGCAAAAGTAGGTTTATAGTTGTTCCCATGGAAAAATACTACGATAAATAATAATACAAGAATAAACTGTGCTTCTTGTACTCACAACTGTAAACTTACTTTTGCCTACTCCTGTATGTATTTCCGAAAATATATATATTACCAATAATGCTGTGGAGTCATAGATGTACCATCAAGAGTAGCCTCTTACAAGAGTAATGCTTTGATTCTCATTTCTTGCAATTCAATCAATATATCAACTTTATAGCAAGCCAAGCAAACAATAGTAACTAATTTCGTTGACTAAAATAGTATTTATTCTTTTCTAAAGTGAGTGAAAGATATCTGAATTAAAATACCACTGATTTGTCTTATTCCATGTATTTATTCCCAAACTGCAATGAATTAAACTCAATTGCAGTACAGTTAATACTAATTATTCCTATATTTTATTCTGAAAATTAAATGTATAGATATTTTAGATTTACATCCCTATGTTAATTTTTAAAAAAATTTTATTTTTGAATTGACAAATTTTAATAGTAATAATATTATTGACTATATTATTGATATCTAATAGCATGTCAGCCACTATACTAAATGTTTAGATATTGCTATATTTAAGCTTACTGTAACAATTCAGTAAGCATTATCATCTCCACTGTACAGATGAGGAGTTTGAGGCTAAGACGAACGTCAGATACCCAGTCATTGCTGTAACTAGGAATCAAGCCAAGACTTCCTAACCGTCACACTACACTGTTCTGACATGATACTGGGCAGATCTGGATCTAAATCCCACCTTCATCTCCATCTTGTGACCTTGGGCAAGTTATGACAATTCTCTAAGCTGTTTTAATCCGTTGTGCCTGTTAAACGAAATGGTAGATGTAAAGTGCTCAGGTGAGTTGGTAGCCACCCAATAAATGTTAGTTGCCCAATTCCACTTACACCCAAAGTTTTCTAATATTTCTCACTATGTTCTATAGGAAAACTTCTGTAGCAATGGCTTAACTCTAAAACATTTACTCTTTTTTTACTTCAGTTTTTAATTCACCATACAGATGTACAAAAAAACAAACAAAAACAGACAGAACTAGATCAACCAAACGACTTTAATGCATGCATAATAAACCTAACCGATGGACACAGACACCAGGGGGGTGAGGGCATGAGTGGGGATGAGGTAGAGAAGGGGAGGGGTAAGGACACATATGTAATACCTTAATCAATAAAGAAAAAAAAAAGAACCATATCTGGTGTAATATAAATTAGTATTTATATGAAATCTCCTAACATAAGTATTTTTGAGCTTCCAGACTTCAAATAGTATTCTCTCTCATACAAACACAGACACTCAATAGACATACTTTGCTACACTAGTACAAAAATTGTGTTCCCAAGTAATACATGTATTACATTTCTCAAGTTTGCATATTTAGTCATTGAATAAAACTATCACTTAAATAGAATATAGCTCGGCAGGTGTGGCTCAGAGGTTGAGCTTCGACCTATGAACCAGGAGGTCATGGTTCGATTCCCAGTCAGGGCACATGCCTGGATTGTGGGCTTAATCCCCAGTAGGGGGCGTGCAGGAGGCAGCCAATCAATGATTCTCATCATTGATGTTTCTCTCCCTCTCTCCCTCTCCCGTCCTCTCTGAAATCAAGAAAAAATATATTTATAAATAAATAAATAAATAAATAGAATATAAACACAGATCTACACTAATAAAAGAGAAACATGGTAATTGGCGTACGACTGCTACCCTTTTCATTGGCTAATCAGGGCAATATGCAAATTAACTGCCAACTAAGATGGCAGTTAACTGCCAACAAAGATGGCGGTTAATTTGCATATGTAGGCACAATGCAGGGAGGCGAAAGGGAAAGCAGGAAGAAGCCCCCTGCCACTGACAGTGATCGGAAACACAGGGGGGAGCTAAGAGCCGGGGGGCAGGGCAAAGGCGGCCCCTAGGGCCGCCTTTGCCCTGCCCCCCATCCATGATCAGAGAATCAGGCACCTTTGCCGCCCTGGCCAGTGATAGCAGGAAGTAGGGGTGGAGCCAGCGATGGGAGCTGGGCACGGTTGAAGCTGGTAGTCCCGGGAGCCAGGGGTCCCTTGCCTGGGCCTAAAGCGGAGCCCGCGATCGCGGGGCCGCTGCAGCTGTGGGTCCCCGCTGCCCAAGCCGGACGCCTCAGCCAGAGGCATCCTGCGGCGGCAGGGGCGGAGCCCGTGGGATCGCGGTGCTGCTGCTGCTGCTGCGGGTCCCCGCTGCCCGGGCCAGACGTCTCCGCCAGAGGCATTAGGCCTGGGCAGGGGCGGAGCCTGCAACCGTGGGGAGCTGGGGGTCCCCTGCCCAGGCCTAATGCCTCGGCCAGAGGCGTTAAGCCTGGGCAGGGGCAGAGCGGGAGATCGCGGGGAGCTGGGGGTCCCCGCTGCCCAGGCCTAATGCCTTGGCCAGAGGCGTTAGGCCTGGGCAGGGGTGGAGCCTGCAACCGTGGGGAGCTGGGGGTCCCCTGCCCAGGCCTGACACCTCTGCCGGAGGCCTCAGGCCTGGGCAAGAGGCCGATCCTGGGATTGGAGGGTGATAGGGGTCAACGCCTGAGGGCTCCCAGTATGTGAGAGGGGGCTGGCTGGGCTGAGGGACACCCCCCCCCCAGGGCACGAATTTCGTGCACCGGGCCCCTAGTATAGACATAAAGGACAAACTGTACAGGTAAAATAAGTTTTTGCACTGTATTTAGGATTCAAGTATATAACTCATTATAATTTCTAAAATTATACATATGAGTATTATTGTAGTATAATGGAAACTTCTTAAATAAAACTTGAAAAATAAGAAATGAATATTGAGGGCAAATATTTGTGAATTCTTGAAAATAGAAAGAAAATCCACGAACTTGGTATAGGTAGAAAGAGTTAGTATATCTTTTGCTTCTCTGATAAATCTGTAAAGTAATATAGTCAAAATCTTACATATTTCATCACATACCTTCAAGCCAAGCATTGCTCCTGAATCTCGAGGCACACTTCCATCTTTCAGACGCTTATTTAATAAAATACGACCAATTAAGCGATCTCCATCTTTCGATGGCTGCCATGTCACAGGGTGCTGACATTGCATCAAAAAACAAAGAAAATTAATGTTCTTTTATGACAAGTGACCCTTTATTGTACAATCTCTCTAAATTCCAGGTTGCCACAGTACTATGATTACACAAACCAGTTTGCATTCAAAACACTGATCAAAAAATGTTTTTTTATGCCAATAACCTGAATTTTATTATCTTGTTTTTTTCAAAGTCAAATTACTTCAAATTCTTACAGTCTTTTGACACAATCCTGAAGTTATATAGTTTTACAAAATCGAAGAAATCTTGAAAATATGTTCAAACCCTAATTTAATAGCATACATGTTGAAGATTAATAAAATCATCGGTAGGAAAAATAGACTGAAATTCTATAAAAGTAAACTCACTTAAAAATGAAAATTTAATCTTCCAACACTTTTGGAAAACTTTGCGAGACCTTATTACAATGAAAGTTAAAAGGTCAAATTATATAAAACACAAAAGTCAAACCTCTGATGGGGGGCTTTTCTTGAAACAGGTTTCTAGATTAAATTTACAAGAAACACACATGCCCCAATCACCTTCCAGCTGATTCCGGGAGAACTAGGCCTATTTCAAAGGGGGGCACAGGTTATATTTCTCACTTTTTAGAGGTTCATTGATTCCTTCGGGTCTTTGATCTAGTTAGTAAGTTGATTTTTATTGGCTAATTCCATGGTACCCATTGTTAAATATAACCTTTAAAATATTAGTTTATCTCTTTCTCTGGGCAGAACCAATCCCTTTAGAAATCATGACACCATTCCATTCCATTATGAATTATATGTCAAATAACAAAGTCAATGATTTGTGTAATCACATTTCACAGTTATCTTAAAGTAACATGCACATCTTCATGCAAAATTTAGCAGGCAAAAGACAAGTTCCAGTCAGTCACATCTATATGGTAACAAGATTTTAAAAGTCTCACTATGCTAAAAGCAAAAATAATAAATACCAAAGCAGATGGCAGTGGCTCTGATACTAATTAATGCTACATTGAAATGCTATGACAATAAAACAAAAGAGCAAAATGACAGTGAAAGGGAAAAAAGAAAAACAACTTTTTCTGTGCAAATAGACCCAATTATCTCCCTTTTGCCTGGGATTCAAACTATTAACAATTTTTCATCCCAAGGAAAATGTATGCAAGCAATCAAATAAGCCAATCCAAGAAATTCTTTGTATTTGTAGTTTATAATAACATTACAAAAGTCTCTCATGCGACCATAGACAAAACATTCCTTTGTTCCTAATTTTTATTTCATTTACTTATTTTTTTTATTTTTTATTTTTTTGGTATGCCGTCAAACAACAAAAACAGCAAAGCAAGCAAGAAATTATTTTGATTTGTTTGTTTTGGTTTTGTTTTTCTTTTCTGCACCTTAAGAAATGCTACATTGACCCTTGAAATGCCCTGTTCTTTTATTATGTTCTGTTTGAATGAGTGACAGAGAGCAAACGAAGACCGAATGAGCAGGTTCAAAGGCAGGCTCCACAATCTCAGTACCTTCTCGCTATGGCTATGCTCCTCGTTAAGGGTTGTGCTACTACAGGTATCTACCCCAGAGTCCTTAATCTGAGGCTCGGACCATTCCAAATCCTCTTCCAAAGAGTGGCCACCAAAGCACATCATTTTCTTTTGTCTCTCAGACCTGGTGTTAGAGTCCGACCAAACTGCCTGCTCACTAGTTTTTCTTTTTCCCTTTTGACTGTCCCCTACAGGTGTGGGATCAAAAAAAAAAAAAAGATACAAAAAAGAAAACATGCAAAAGTGTAAATTAAAAAAGGAAAAGTGAAATGATAACAGAGATTCAATAGTAAGGCCCCACTTGTCTCACCAAAGACATTGGGGATGCCTCACTGCTATGCCAAGACGTATGGTCCAACCAGTTGTAATCCATGTCTCCTGTGAGAGTCGGACAGACAAGAGAGTGCAGTAAAGGAGACGGCGAGAGAAAGGACAGACAAAGGCATCATCAACATTTTAAACTGTGTGATACTGTCCGCTTTCAAGGACTCTGTCTCTAATACTCACTACACATATCAAGAGAAAGCTAGGATTCCAAATGATTAAAACTTACAGAATGTAGAATATCAAGTTTATGATCCCTAGACAGATCCTAGAGAACACCAATCCTAAAAGAAGAGAAAAGGCTAATAATAAACAGAAATGAAAAAAAATACATATTCTGAAAAAGAAAAAGACTATCGGTTATATCTGTTACTCATGCTATCTTTTTCATGCTGGTTTACAGACATGAATTATTCTCCAAAGAGTAAAGAACATTTTAGAAGTAGTGGTTTGCCAATAACCACTATAACCAAAAGCCAAGCAATTAAATGTTGTTCCTGGAGTGTAATACAATATTAGTTTCAATGCTAAAACCTCCTAAAAATATTTAGTGGATAAAAAAAAAGAATTGCTTACACAAAAGAATAGTTGTGTATGAAAGTGACAAAAGAGATGCACTCAATTTCTATTAGTAAAAATAAAAGAAACTTTACTTTTATTATGAATTACTTATTGTGAAATAATATTTCAACTTTTTCAGAAATTACATTCTCATAAAATGAAAAATTGAAATAATTTTGTCAGGTAATTTGTGTAATTGACAACTAAGAATGAGTATCTACTTCCCATGCTTATATGCTCCTTCTTTGAAAAAGGATTTATGTTTAGACTAAATGTGCACATATATCTTTTTAAACTCTATTCATACTTTCACTTATTTAAAAATATTTACTAATCTCCTTCCATTTGCTATGCATTGTGCTAAGCTCTAGTGTATGGGGTTAAAAGATGAGACATACAACAGAGTGGAGATAAACACAATAAATAAGTCCTCAGTGTCACACAGGAAATTACAAGACACCGAGAGAGTATAATAATATCTAATTTAAATTTAGGGGTCAGTGAACACCTCTAAAGAAGTGATGTTTAAAGATGAGAGCTGAAATATGTGGCCTACAGGACACGTAAGGAGATAGGCAGATGGAAAGCGGAGGAAAGAACATTCCAGGAATAGCATGGTCCTGTGAAAGAACTGCTAGGACACCTGTGTGTCTGAACCCAAAGGAATGAGGGCAAACATAATGCTACAGGAGGCTGGTGAGGCAGCACAAACCAGCTTAGTGGGGCCTTTTTATGCCACATGAAAGACTGTGAATTTCATTTCTTGTAGGACTTTAAGTAAATGGTGATATAAACTGATTTACATTTTTAAAAGATGAATCTAATAGAGATTGAATTGGATGACACCAAGAGTTAAAAGGCATTTGCAATAATTCATGGGACAGGTGATTAGGGCTTTAACAAAGGTGTTGGCAACAGATGTGGTAAGAAAAGAGGAAACTGAGAGGCACTTTGGAGGTAGAATTAAGGTTTAAGAATATTATTTGGAAAATATTTGTAAGATTGAAGACTCATGCCTGGCCGGCATGGTTTAGTGGTTGAGTGTCGACCTATAAACCTGGAGGTCATGGTTTGATTCCTGGTCAGGGCACATGCCCGGGTTGCAGGCTTGATCCCCACCCAGTGTGGGACATGCAGGAGGCAGCCAATCGATGATGCTCTCTCATCATTGAGGTTTCTATCTCTCCCTCCCTCTTCTTCTCTGAAATCAACAAAAAATAAAATAAAAAAGACTTGAATTTGGGTCTTAAAAGGCATAGAGCTTAAAAAAAAAGAACAAAGACCCACTACAAATGATTAATATTTAAATTGTAAATGCCACGTAAGGATTAGCAGAAGAAAAAGGAAAATTAGAATTAATCAATAATGCAAGGAGCCATTAAACAGAAATAGTTATTAGGTTTCAGATAAGAGTTTGATAAGAATCTAGTTTAACTGATAGAACATACAGTCTGTTTCACTCTCAATGAAACAGACCATTGTAAACCAATAGTCTCTCAACCTCTACTTCCAAATTTAATACAATTAAATTTAACTCAGGATAGAAAATAAGTTTATTGCATGTCTGTTATGTGCCTGATGCTGTGCTAAGTGTTAAGTGTAAGATGAAACCAGCATGCTCCCTGCTTGGAAGCTAAGCCTGTAAGCAAACAAGAGTACTACGTTATGATAAATATGAAAATAGTTAAATGCAAGGCACAGATGTGGAGAAGACATGATTCCAAGAAGGTAGAAGTAATTATCATGGATGTATCCTAGAAAGGAAAATAGGCAGATTCTCACACAAGCTGGAGAAAAGGAAAGCCCAATGTATGTATAACTTTCCCGAATGAGTTAGTCAAACATAATGCAGTCAAATATAGCAGAACAAACTGAACCACCAAGCAAAATAGAGACAGACTCATAGATAAAGAGCAGACAGACTGCTTGGGTCAGGGTGGAGGGTAAGGTGGGTAAAGGGACTGAAAAAAAGAGAGAGAGAGAACTCAACAGAACACACCACCAGGAAATAAACCCACATGTACTTGGTCAATTAATATATGCCAAAAGCGGGAAGAACATACAATGGGATAAAGACAAGTTTAGTCAACAAATGACATTGGGAAAATTGAACAGATACAGGCAAAAACTGGAACTAGACCACCTTCTCACACCATACACAAGAATAAACTCAAAGTGGATTAAAGATATAAATGTAAGACTTGAAACCATAAAACCCTTAGAAAAAACGAAGGCAGTAAAATATCTGACATTTCTCTTAGCAATATTTTTTTCTGACATATCTCCTCCGGCAAAGGAAACAAACAAAAAAAAATAAACAAAGGGGACTACATCAAACTTAAAAGGTTTGCACAGCAAAGGAAAGCATCACCAAAATAAAACAAGGTACTGAATGGAAGATGTTCGCCAATGATGCATATGATAAGGGAGTTAGTATCCAAAATTTATTAAGAATTCAGGCAACTCAACAATAATAATAATAATAATAATAATAATAATAATAAACAATCCAATTTAAAACTGGGCAGATGACCCCGATACTTCTCCAAAGAGGACACACAGATGACCTATAGACATGTAAAAAGATGCTCAATGTCACTAATCATCAGAGAAATGCAAAGTAAAACCACAATAAACTATCACCTCACACCTGCTAGAATGGCTTATTAATAAAACAACAAACAAGTATTGATGAGGATGTGGAGAAAAGGGAACCCTCCTTCACTGTTGGTGGGAATGCAGACTGGTGCAGTCTTTATGGAAAACAGTATGGAGTTTCCTCAAGAAATAAAAATGTAACTGTCTTATGACCCAGTGATCCAACTCCTGTGTATATATCTAAAGAAACCCAAAACACTAATTTGAAAGACTATATGCACCCCTATGTTCATCGCAGCATTATTTACAGTAGCCAAGATACAGAAGGAACCCAAATGCCCATAAATAGACAAGTGGATAAAAAGCTGTGATTATGTGTATATATATATATTTCTAAGCCATAAAAAAAGAATGAGTCTTACCAAACTATCGATAGATTCAATGCAATCCCAATTAAAATACCAACAGCATATTTCACAGATCTAGAACAAATACCCCAAAAATTTATATGAAGCAAAAAAAGACCCCAAATAGCCACAGCAATCTTAAGAAAGAAGAACAAAGTTGGAGGGATCAAAATACCAGATATGAAATTATACTACAAAGCTGCTGTAATCAAAACAACCTGATACTGGCACAAGAACAGGCATACAGATCAATGGAACAGAACTCAAACCAAGCCATTATGCTCAATTAGTATTTGACAAAGGAAGCAACAACATACACTGGAATAAAGACAGTCTCTTCAATACATGGTTTTGGGGAAATTGGGCAAGTACAGGCAAAATAATGAAAGTAGAGCACCAACTTACACCATACACAAGAATAAATTCAAAATGGATAAAAGACTTAAATGTAAGTTGTGAAACCGTAAAAACCCTAGAAGAAACCATAGACAGCAAAATCTCAGACATCTCTCATAGCAATATGTTTGCTGATACATCTCCGACGGCAAGGAAAACAAAGAGAAAATAAACAACTGGGACTACATCAAAATAAATAGCTTCTGCACAGCAAAAGAAACAATCAACAAAATGAAAAGAGAGCCCACTGCATGGGAGAACATATTTGCCAATGACACACCTGATAAAGGGTTAATTACCAAAATATATAAGGAACTCATATAACTTAATACAAGGAAGACAAACAATCCAATTAAAAAATGGGCAGAGAGCCTAAATAGACACTTCTCCAAAGCCGACATACAGATGGCCAAGAGACATATGAAAAAATGCTCAAAGCCACTGGTCATCAGAGAGATGCAAATTAAAACAACAATGAGGTATCACCTCACTCCTGTCAGAATGGCTACCATCAACAAATCAACAAATGACAAATGCTGGCGAGGATGTAGTGAAAAGGGAACCCTAGTACGTTGCTGGTAAGAATAGGGACTGGTACAGCCATATGGAAACAGAGTTTCCTCAAATAATTAAATATGGAACTCCATTTGACTCAGCGATCCCACTTCTAGGAATATATCCTAAGAAATCCAAAACACCAATCAGAAAGAATGTATGCAACCCTATGTTTATAGCAGCACAATTTACAATAGCTAAGATCTGGAAACAGCCCAAGTGTCCATCGGTAGATGAGTGGATAAAAAAAGCTGTGGTACATTTATACCATGGAATACTATGCAGCAGTAAAAAAAGAAAGAAAGAAAGAAAGAAAGAAAGAAAAAGAATCTCTTACCCTTTGATACAGCATGGAGGGACCTGTATAGTATTATGCTAAGCGAAATAAGCCAGTCAGAGAAAGACAGAAATCACATGATCTCACTCAGATGTGGAATCTAATGAACAAAATAAACTGTTGAACAAAATAGATCCAGAAACATAGAAGCATGGAAGAGACTGTCCGGTCTCAGAGGGAAGGTAGGGGTGGATGGGTGGGAAGAGATCAACCAAAGAACTTGTATGCATATATGCGTAACCCATGGACACAGACAATTGGGTGGTGAAGGCCTGGAGGGAGGAGAAGCAGATACAAGCGAAGTTCCCTGCCCTCTCCCTATTTGCCTAAAAGCAGGACATGTATTTGGAAAGGTGATCCCTCCCCCTTCTCTAACAGGAGGACAGAAGTTAACCACTGGATATAATTCCTGACCTTATAAGCACCACAGGAGTCAACATAACAAACCCTGCTAAAATTAGCCCTTCTCTTCAATTAGTTCCTACAATTTGTCACCCCTAGAAGCTGAAAGTCCTTTTCCTTTGTCCTGTCCTGTCTTTAAAAATGTATTGTTCTTGTGTTATATAAGCCCAAATTCTAACCATCCCTTTGAGCTTCTCCTGGCTGAGTGCTCCTATATATGTGTGCAATGCACATGATAGTAAATTGGTTTTTCTCTTGTTAATCTGTCTTTTGTCAGTCTAATTTATAGGACCCCAGCCAATGAACCTAGATGCAGAGGTGGTAAAAGAGTTAAGTTCTTCCTCCTCTACACCTCCCAGTATAACTTTAGAAACAGGATAGTTCAATGAACCAATTAAGATTATGACTAAAGTGTTATTGACCCCAAGAGATAATCTGAAAGGAATATGCATCTTTAGGGTAGCTGGCCTCCCCAATTAGGAACATGAAGTGAATCTCTTCCTGTATGTTACCCAGTCAAGTTTTATAGCTTTCTTCATGTAGGCCCTCCTCATGTCTTATTATTTATTTTAAATCACATCTTCTGTTTTTAGTTCAGAACGTAAACTCCTTTTCATTTATATTTTCTAATTGTTTTTCATACAATATTAATTTCACACCCAGCTGCCTTCTTGAATCCCTTTATTGATCTCCATTCATTCTTATAAACATGAAATCAATTATTCCTCCAACAGTGTTAGAAAATTGTGTGTGTGGAGGTGGGGGAGGATGGTACAATGGATTCACGTTAGATACTCACCTATCTGGTGTGTTTTGGCATACACCAAAATAAATTAAAGAAAGATTAAGAAGTTTAAAATTTTTTAAATTAATAATAAAATCATGAGAAATTAGAGTTAAATATTCAACTAATTTGGGGATGAATAAAGATTTTCTGGAGATAAAAGGAAAAGGGAAAAAAAACAACAAATATAAAGACTTAGCTATATTATGTTCAATATTTCCCAATGACCAAAGAAAATTAGTAGGTAAACATCAAAATGTGAAATGCACTTGGAACAGATGACAGTTAATTGAGCAAATAAAAAACTCTTATAAAATCAATAAGACAAAAACAAATTAATACCCAATAGGAACATGAGCAGAAGAAATAAACGGAATGATAATTCATAGAAGATATCAAACACCAATTTACATACAAAATATTCAACCACACAATCCAATTCAAATTAAAATGAGATAGCATTTTTTGTGGTGTATTCAAATAGCAAAGATATGGTGCATCTAGCCCAAAAGCTCAAGCCTATTTGATGATGAAAGCATATGACAGGAATATAGAGTGTTATAACCTTTTTGGAAAACAGGATGTTAATCTGAAGTAAAAGCTTAAAAAAATCAAAGCACAAATATATATTTGTGAAATACTAAGAGATATAGGCAAAAATTATGCATAAACATAACCATTATAATATCATTTATAATAACAACTGGAAGCAACTGCAATGCCCCAAATAAAGGAATAGTTAGTTTGTGGTATATCCTTACGATAGAATAGTGCAGCCATTTAAAACATATTTCTGAAGAATATCTAATGGCTTGAGAAAAGCGAGTGATATGGTATCAATTGAAAAAAAAATCCTAACACATACATAGGAAAAAGAGAAGAAATACAACGAAATGTTAATAATGGTTACATTTGGGGAACAGGATTATGGATAACTTGTATTTCACTCTTTACACTCTGAGGAATTTTTCAGATGTTCTCTAGTAAACATATTGTTACAGTGGGGCCTTGACTTACGAGTTTAATTCGTTCCGAGACCGAGCTCGTTAAGGAGCTCGTTACCTCAAATTACTCTACCAACTCAATGCAAAAAATCCACGGAGAGACAGCTGGTATCTCAAAAAACTCGTTAGCCGGGACACTCGTAAGTCAAGGCCCTACTGTACTTTTAAAAGGAAACACAAAAGAGGTTATGCAGCTAATAGATAAAAATATGCCATCAAGTAGCGTAAGAAAATTTTCAGAAACAAAGCAAAAAACAAAACAAAACAAAAAAACAGTTTTAAAACTCAACAGACCTACAGAGGATGTTCACATTTTATAACTGGAAATTTTCTTCACGCGACCAACACCATTAAAACACTTTTTAAATAAAAGTAGGACTATCTAACTTTTAAATGTCTACTCTCCTCTAATCAATTGCAGGGAGTTGTGTGGTCACAATAGAGCAGCTTACCTTTCTCACTGACACTCTCACTTTCAATCTCAACATCATCACAGCTTGTGTATTCGGGTGTGGACGCGAGTTCCTCCTCCGAGCTGCTCAGTGACACCTGGCGCATTTTACCTCCTTTCTTGGATTTGTGAGGCTTCGGTGGCGGCGGTCGCACCGACTCGGACTGGTCGGAGCTGAGAGAATCATTCCTGAGCATCGTTTCCATTTTTTCCCGTTTCGTTTTCCTCACAGCGGAGCTAGGGTCTAAGTGGTGTTGCTTCCTTAGGGAGTCGGTCCGCCTCATGTCTTGTCGATCAATGGGTATTGGACTCCTCCGGGGGGTCGGAGGGCTATGGTTTGTGGTCCTTTGTGGATATGAACTTGGCCCCTGAGCCTCTCGAGTTCTTTCCATGGAATAGGATCGCTGATTTTCCATGGCAGCTCTACGTTCAGATATAGATCTCTGCCTTGATGGCCGCTCCATCCTTAGCACAGAAATCCTGGAATCTTCCAGTTCGGCATTTGCCAAAGAAACATCACTATGTCTTCTCTCGTGCCGTGCTCTGGACACTTCGGCATGAATGCGCATTTGTTCCTCATAGGGCTGTGGCTTGACTGGATAACGGGCCAAATTTGGATCACTGCGATAGCGTGCCTGGTATTCCTCCTCTCTCCTCTGTCTCTCATACTCATCTCTGCTTTCCGCGTCCTCGTCATCGACAATATACTCTTTGGAATGCCTATGACTTCTCCTGTTGGGGTCCCTGTAATTTATGTGATCAGATTCTTCATAAAACTGAGGTTCGCGCTGAGACCGCCTGTCAGCATAATCCGATGGAGACCTAGGCATTGCGCTATCTGAAGGCGCATACTGTGAATATTCCTCTCTTTCTTCCCGTTGGTCGTATCTTCTATTCTGATCTCTGGACACTGATGGACTTCTTTTCCTAAGTAATCAAAGAAAAAAAATGATGAGAAGAGCAACGTTTAAATAATTCTACATTTCACTGATTCACAGAAAGGTTGGTGGATACATTCAAATGGTTCTTTTTGCTTCTTTGTTAAACTTCCTTTCAAACTCATGCCAAAACAAAAGTTTTACTTAAATGCATTCTATTTAGTTCAAATAGGAAATTCAAAAGATACTTTTGATGTGGTTATTAAAAGACTGATACACTACATATGAAATGTACTTATTCAGAACTTAGATAACCATCAAATTCTGCTGATGTAAAACAGTTTTTTCTAATTTCCTTGCCTGGCTCCAACTTCAGCTATCTCCCAACTGTTATTCAGAAACTTTAAAAAAAAAAAAAATCCCACCTTCCATTCTCTCCATTCTGACACCTTGGTATGAAAATTGCTTAACAAAATAATGAAGTCAAACCGACTTGGCTCAGGAGTTGAATACTTTCTAACTAAAGCTAAGTGTTGTCGCTACGTGAAATAAGCCAGTCAGAGAACAAGGATCATATGATCTCACTCATGGGTGGAATCTAGTGAACAAAATAAACTGACAAACAAAATAGATCCAGAGACATAGAAGCATGGAACAGACTGACGATTCTCAGAGGGAGGGTGGGCATAGGGGAGTGGGGGGTGGGAGAGATTAACCGAAAATTTATATGCATATATGCATAACCCATGGACACAGACAATAGGGCGGTGAAGGCCTGGCAGGGCTGAGTGGGATGGAGGGGGTCAATGGAGAAAAAAAGGGGACATCTGTAATACTTTCAACAATAAAGATAAACTTTTTAAAAAATCATTTTTCATTCATCCACCTATGTAAATCACTTCTGGCATCGGGTCCTCTAAGTCTTCCTCTTATCATCACAGCTCCAACCCTTCCTTTCTGCTCTAACTTGAAATAAGCAATTTAAATAAGTGCCAACAATAATGACTTATTCATCACAAAACCCCTGAAGTCAGAAAGGACTGCTATTCTTATTCCACCTTCATTAAGGACGATAGGCCAGCTCAATGACATTTCTCAAGCGTCACATCTGACCCCTCATATTCCTTATAGCCTCAGAGAAAGACACTATATGTTGTATCTGCCCCCTCCCCCCCGCAACGCTGATACAGCCAGATGGACCTTGCAGTCACACTCAGTATTAATGCTTTTTGTCAACAAAATATACACATTGTCCTCTTCTCTGGCACAAACTCAGAAAATGTCAACCGCTAGCCACGAGAAGCAATAGAACTGGGATCCTGAATATGACAGAAGAGGTTTAGAATAACTGCTATGAAAACTGTGTCAGAAGACATGAACAGGAGATAATGAAGTGATAGTGGGATCACTTGAATTTATGGGATCGCTTGAATGTAAAGATGACCAATGTTAGACAGCTCAGCTGTGAATTTCTCAGACAGTATTTTTTGACCCGAAACCAAGAACAGAGAAAAGATACATGTGGAATGATGTAACCCAGCAACATCATCTCTGTCCTCTAAAGTCTCCTGTGTGTCCCTGGGTCCCTTTCCCCCATACCTGCAGTATAGTTTGTGGATGTATCAATGAGGGTTCATTACAGAAAACAGAAGTCACTCTGGGTTTTCCAGGTAGGAAAGGTTTTAATAAAGGAATCAGAAGCTACAAAACTGGTATCTCATTGTAGTTCTGGTTTGCATTTCCTCAAAAGCTAGTGAAGTTGAGCATCTTTTCAGATATCTATTAGTCATTTGCGTGTCTTCTTGGGAGAAGTGTGTTTGGGGTCCTCTGCCCATTTTTAAAAATATGTTTTTATTGATTTCAGAAAGAGGCAGGGAGAGTGAGAGAGGGGTAGAAACATGAATGATGATAGAGAATCATTGATGGGCTGCCTCCTGCATGCTCTCCACTGGGGATCGAGCCTGCAACCCGGACATGTACCCTGGCCAGGAATCCAACCGTGATCTTCTGGTTCATGGGTCGACGCTCAACCACTCAGCCACGCCGGCCAGGCAAGAGGGTAAATGATTTTAAAACTCTCTCCAATTTCTTAGGAACTATGATATTATAATATTGATACCACAGCTTCATCAAGTTAATATGCCTAAATGAAAGCTTAAAGCATCACAAAAACAAAACAAAAAACAACAACAATACGAATATACTGTCAAGATGAATATTTTTAGCATAGTCATATCTCACTAACTGGCTAGTTATATCTACAGACTTTACTACAATACTGAGATAAATGAAAATTTCTCTAAAGAACATGAAAGCATCAGTTCCTTCTCAAACTGACCATCTAACCTCCATTAGATGCAGACTTTATGCTAAGAATTCAAGTACATTTGGGTATGTAAAAAATCATGTAATTTTTTCCAATCTAAGTTAATGAACATAGAGTGTCTCTAGAAATGCAGCAGTCACTCATAAGCCTTACTAATAGCAAGAAATTGGTACTGTTCCAAGAGTAAAATCCTAGAGTTTCACCGATGTATATGATACATAGGAAATAATTGTTTAAATTTTAGTTGGAGGGTGTTTGATTAAATAAATTCTACTTTCTGTAAAATTCAATCTGAGCTGAATAAGAAATTATGTAGCTATACATAAACATATGAAAGAAAGAAACAATTTTCAGAAAATGTTAAAGGGGAAATTGGATATTTTGAAGGCAATTCAACATAATGGTGACTTTCTTCCTCGCGGAACTTCCCTGCGTAATCTTATGCATTTCTATCCAAGATTACCAATAACACCTCTAAAATGCTGGGTTTCGTAAGGGCTGGCAACCTGGATCTAAGGAGGCTGAAACAGACGAGGTGGTCAACCACTGAATTAGAGAACACATGTTGAATTAGAGAACTGATTAAATCTCCCTTAAACTATCTCTACTTCTCATGGCTTGTTCTTTTTTTTCTATATTGAAACGCACTGATGGCTAAAATAGTCTAGTTATTTCCTTTCCCTTTGTGCCCCAGCAGTAAACAGCACCTCAAGTGAAAGGAAGGAACTACTTTGATTAGTGGTGTAACTCAGCTCTAGTATATGTTAATTTGGCTCTTGTCTTGGGCTTCAGAAACCAACTCTTGTTTATAAAATGACTTCTTTGGCAAAATATGTTTTGAGTATCAATCACTTTACAACTAAATATTTAGAACAAAAACTTCTTTGCAACTTAGGGATGTCTAGTAATATACTTAACATCTAGTATTATATTTAACATCTAGTAATATATTTAACATCTACTATTATAGGACAGAAGTAGAATAAAAAGTAAAACAGAACACTTAAGTCCCTGAGGAATTAGCATGAATTTTTTAAAGTAAGTAGGATATAAATATAGTGAGCCTTTAATAACACAAGGAATATATTTCATTTTATTAATAAATAAGAACATTTACTTAGATAATTCAGTTCCAGGAAAAAGAATATTAACCATTCGTCCTTAGCAAGTCATATAGGTGCTTTTTAAAAATCATACCTTCAATAAATTGAATTCAATATTAAATCCAGCAATCACTTTATTCTAGAGATTATGAAATTTGCCTAAAACATGTGAATCATATTGTAGATACTGATTTGTACTGGATTTAAGTAAAAATAGAATAGTGGTGACAATTTCTGAAATTTCTGAAACTATTGTCACTGTTACTTAACATGGAATTAGGTTTCTAAAAATATGGTTAAGTTACCTTACAGTATATTAAAGGTATGCTAGGAGGTAAGATTTTATTCTAAAGAATATTCTTACCAAACAATAAAGAATCTAAAATTAGTTACTCCAAAATATTAAAATACCCTGTCAAAACAATTTTTAACAACTATATTGTGAATTATTGCATATTCTATTTTGACATATTTTTCAGGAATTGATGAAAATTCAACTACTGTATCTCTAATCTCTAGTTTCGCTACTGGTCTTTATAAACAAGCCTTAGTATTTATTATTATCAGTTGGAAAATATTTTATAGGTAAAATAATATAATGATAGTTTCTAAACTTCCCTATATAATCATGAAGCATTTAACAGTATCTGACCCATAAATTATAATTCAGAAAAATAGAGCAACTCATCTAAGATATTACATCTCACTTAATCCTTCAAAGACTATGAAAAATTAAGAGGCAGAATCCAAAATTATGCCTTTCTTTAGAATAAAATGTATTTGTGACATTATATAGTGCTTTAATTTTTATGCCTATACATTCTATCAATCCCAATTTCTGACCAATACAATATCAGTATATATTTATATTCACTCTATATTAGCCTAATACCTTTTCATCTTCTCTTTATTGAAACCTAGATTGTTAGAATCGTTTTCTTTTTCACTACATTATAGTCACCTTAATTGGAACCAGTTTATAGAAAATCACATATAGAAATATACTATTTCGACTTTAATCAGAAGCATTTCTGTTCATTGTTTATAACTGTTGTAATATGGACTAACCATCAATCTACGTATTTCTAAATATTCTGGCTATGTATTCACACTTGACTAGATAGTTTGAGCAAGAAACTACCAATTAATCTCTTTAAAATTTCATGTCTAAAAATTATACTAACTGATGGGGAAACTCTAAATGAAAAGATTCTTTCCCAATTAAAGTCACTTTCCCAATTTCCCAAAGGCAGTCTCAATGCATATACTGTACAGTAATTCATTGTATTTTTACATAGCTTCTTTTTTAATATTTACAACATTTACATGCCTATGTAGTTTCTGTTATCATGCCACCGGTATATTATCAATACTGACCATACATATACTATAAAATAATCAAGTTTCTGAAAATATAATCCAGTAAGCATGTAAAAACGTTTATAAGGACAGTAAATGATTAGATGGAAACAAGTTTTAATGTCCATATGTTTTTAACTTTTAAGACCTATGTAATTTTTCAAAATCATAAGGACACTAAGAGTAGAGTGAAGGATTAAAAATTAGTAATTTCTGTAAATTCAAATTGCATATTATTACAGTTAAGTGCTATGTATATGA